CTTCATGAGCTTCGCAGACTTCGGGCCAGAGTCAGCTTCGCCAACGATCTTCCCTAGAAAGACCTCCTTGGCCAACCCTTGAGCAACCATATCGTGAAAAACCTTTTGCACCTTCGCCTTAGACCGCAACTTCGTGGGAAATTCGGAGTTGTGGTTCGCATCGCCGTTCCGCATGAAAGTACCAGGCGCCAATAGTACCGCTCTGTAAGCCTTCTCCTCATCGGTAAAAAGTTTTCCCTGCACGCCTTCCTTGCCATGAAACTCGGCGACCTTCGTGTCTTGCGCCCTCGTGAATCTGAACCAACATTCTTACAAACTTGAGTGAGAAAAAAATACATACATACAAAAAGTGAGAAAAGTAAGACAAATGTTTATAAGGGGCACACCTTTCAACCTCCCTCGCCGCCTCGAGGTCAACAAGGCTCGTCTCGCTCGGAACGTGCATAGGGACTTGCCAAGCCTCCCAAATCTCAGCGGACTGAGAGCCAGATGCTAGATCTGTACCCTGCGTTGATTGCGAAAAGGCGCCTTGAGCATCGGCGCCCTCGCTCTCCGCATCTTCTTCGTCGATGCTTGCACGTGTGCGAGGCAATATTTCAGGAGGGAGGAGTGGCATTGGCCCATATTTGGCGCGCTTGTCGAATGCGGACTCCACCCCCAAACGAAGCGCGAACATGGCGAACACAAGCCGTAATAACTTCGCTCTCGCTTTCGAAAGGCGTGCTGTGAGCGACTAAATGACTGTGAGTGATATATGATAAAACGAATAAAAAGCTACAAAAGAAAAAAGTGAAGTGCTCACCGTATGCCCCTTCGTCGCCTTCCCTTGCCAGTGCTTCCAATTGCAGTTCGACCTCCATCCAATGCTCCCCGTAGAGTGCGTTCGAGTCAGCGTTGAAAAATATGAGCACCCCTTTACCTCGCTTTTTGAAGCCAAGACGTATCTCGTGCAATACCTCTTTCATGGTAGGAGTTGTAACGTCTTCTTTGCTCTTGTTGATGGCTTCCAAGAGCTCAGTCCACGAACGAAACTCCTGTCGGCAAGCCCAAACACCCAAAACACTATCAATAATATACCTAAGAGAATATGATGCGTGTACTACTTGAAAGAAAGATTCGCGCACCTTATGCCCATGGTGTACGATCCACCTCTCCTTGAAACCGTTGCCTTGGAAATCTTGGCTTGCGAAAGCCCCGGCTGTGACGTACTGCGAGAAGGCGAGGATGTTGCACTGCAGGTTGTCCAAGCTCATACTAGACTTCACGTTTTTCTTTCGCAACGATTGCCCATTATACAACTTCAACAAGATGCCGATATCGTGGGCTGCGCCGCCCTTGCCCTGCTTATTCAAGCCAAGCTCCGTTAAAAGTGTGATGAACTCGTCGTTGACGATCAGGGCGCTTCCCTCACTATCTTTGAGTAGCTTGAGCAAGCCTTCGATGGTTCCCCCTGAATTTGTACGCACAAACACACAACAAAAATGTTAGCAAACAACTACATCGCAGCAATTTTCAAAGTAACTTTTGCACTCTTCATATTCACAATACTGCACAAATAAAGATAAGTGATAAGTAAGAGCGAACCTTCCCAAAGATATGAGTACGGACATTTCTTCTCTTTCTTATCCTTTGGGTCCTCCTCCTCCTCATTATCGCTCGCGCCAGTTTCTCCGCGTTCGTATCTTTCCACATCTTCTTGGTGTGAAGCTGCTTCTGTAAGAAGGTTGCATAGGCGACTCTTCGCTGAACCAGACAACATCGCGACCAATAAGAAAATACAACCGGCTTCAGCGAGTATCCCGTCAAAATCGCCTGCGATGGTAATCTTACAGTTGTTGGTTTGAGATAACACTACTGGGAGGAGAGATATAAGGCAACTCTCGTAGTTCGAGCACGTGAGGTGCACTAATGATTGTGCAACAATGCCAACAAGAGGTGAAATCTTAGAGCGTCGAATCACAAGGCTTTTTGAGACATCATTGTGCATAAAAGCGTTTAAACGCTTCTGTTTCTCTGCCGAAAACGATTGTAACATTTTGTTTGAAAAGAGGCAGAAGTGTGTGCGGCTTTAGTGAAAATAGAGCGCCGAAACTTAATACATATGACGAGATGAGTTCAGTGTGTATCTATGAATTTAAAAGCTCTCAAAAAAGCTGTTGCGTTCGTATTCTTTTTCCCTAACAGGTTCCCAGCGCAGGCAGGTGTCACTTTGTGAGGCTTTGCGTTCCACTCGACTGGTTGAAAATTAGATGCGTTCGCTTCTTCTGTTCGTGATTTCTGATACCAGTTTTGTTCGACATATGCAACGTGGCATTGCATGCCGGAATTTTTGTGAAATGAGGTGTATGTGTCTACGTGTATGACGGCTTCCAACGTGGTATCGAACATGGCACGTTTTGATAGGATATGAGTATATGTTGATGCCCTGTTGGAGTTTTCATGGAATAACGAATAGAATAAGTTGAATTATTAATTCAAAATTTTAATCGAGAACTTTTGATTTCGTGTCAAAAGTTTGTCAAAAGACAATACAGTTATTGCATAACTTTTTTCCTCGTCGATTTGGCCAGATTCTATGAGGAGATTTGTCGCGCGCCGCGACTGCATAACTTGTCAAAACTCCTCATGAAACCATCGAGCGTGTTCAAAATGCGATATCGCGTGAAAATGAAAAGGTGAGGAGTGAGGAGTAAAAGGGTGGGGCTCCTCCAGAGGTGCCCGACAGAAAACTCCTCATGAAAGTTGTCCATGGTGGCATCTGAAAATTTTAGACCAATAAAAATACACAGCGTGGATCTCTTTCTGAGCATGAAATCTGGTTTTTCTTCGCATCGTTAGCGTTTATTGCTGTTCTGCGGAACTTACGGGAGAAGTCTCACTGCCTGTTTGACCGTGTATATTGCACAAAAAAAATGATACTAAGCACGCGCATGCACAGAATCATGTTCTTAAGACTGTTGGTACCAAGTAGGTACCAACAGTCTGAGGATCCGCTAACGCATTCTTCACATTTTCAGATTCCACTCAAGCGGGCAACTTGCGCCCGGTTTCGGGAGTATGTGTTTTCACGCAAAAGCGAATTCGCCTCCAAATTCGCCGCGATAACTTTCGCCTCGCTGACCGCGTTAACAAAAGTAAAACAGAAATGGAATGCTGAGACTCTTGCGCATCGATTGCACTCATCCGATATACCCCACGAGCGAGTGGGGTATAGCGGATGCTCGATTGAGCGTTCGGTTCGGAGGGTAGAGCGAGCCAAATCACACCCGATGCGAAGATTTGCTTCAGTTCTTGTAACTTAACAACAACTGGACAGCATGGAACCACCGGTATGCTTCCTTAGACGCATACCAGTAGGTCTGAAAAGACCTGGGGCGCAAATTTTCATTTTTGCGGCCACGAAAATTAATACCCTGACGCCGAAACCCGGAATTTTCGATCCCGCGGCACCGTTACTATCTTTTCTGACGTGTCGACGGCCATCACAGCTCTTCGCGAGGAGTTATCTGAAGTTATGCAACCCAGGCGGCTCCTGACTCCTGTTCGATTTGCTGAGAATCCATGAGGACCGCAAACTTTTCGACTCCTCGCGCGATGGCTTTTTTCAGTCGCGGTCCTCACGGATTTCTGATGGATTTTCGTGAGGAAAAAAAGTTATGCAATAACTGTAATGGCGCACAGTTGTGTGTCATTATTATTCTTGGTGGATTTCACATGATTTTCTACAAACTTGTCATATGCATTTTTTGTAGGTTTCTTTTTTGGTTGAGGCTCTTCTTCGGATTCATCTTCTTCGTTAACACCTTTCATCATTATTTCAAAATATTCAATATCTAAATCTTCCAAATACACATTACTCTGTTCATCTGTCTGCCACATGACTTGTTCTTCACCATGTACAATATAAGTACCATGGTAAGACTTCAAGAAAATCTTATCATCACAAACTTCTGGGTACCACATTTCCCAATTCCATGCATCATCATCTTCTACATCATGCCAGAATACATGCTTTCCATCATCATGACAAGAAAGATATTCTCCAGAATAGTTTTTAACATATACACATGGATTTCCACAATCATCTTCCCACATTCCAACCCAAACCGTTGGTACCCATCGATCGTTTACATTCATTATACATTCCATTGCCATCGTTCTCAAGTAGATTGTATGTAAGTTGTTTAGAAATATGTTGTAGTGTCGTTTCTTCTTATACCCTATGTAAAAGTAGTCTTTATGTGGATTATTGCAAAGACTGGTGTTAAAAAAAAGGTTACCAACGTGCTGTAAGGTACGGCGATCACTTAATTTAAGTAATTTAATTGATTATGATATCATTAATAGACTCGAACCAATTACCGACTTTAAAATCTTTTATATCATTTTCGATTATAAAAGGGATATTGTGTTTTTTTAATCTAGATAAAATTTCATTGTTAACATGTTTACTTATTTTAGGTTTCATCTTTTTGTTATGAAATTCAATTAATAATACATTAAAATAAGGATAAAGATTGTATTCTTCTATACATTCAAATATACCATATTCAGCACCTTCAATGTCTAATTTTAATATACAAAAATCGTCTATATCTATATTGTTTAGTACAAAATCTTTAAAATGAGTATTATTTATTCTAATTGTATTGATTAACCCTCCAGTGATTTTATTTTTCATTAAACTTGAACCTTCATTTGCTATATCAGCAACATGTAAATCTACATGTGTGTTTTTATTATTTGAAATGGCTGAGTCAAATATATATATATTGTTAATGTTATTTTTCTTATATTCAACTACATTTCTTTTTAAAATTTGGTAATTTCTAGGATCCGCTTCGAACGAATATATTTCATATTTGTTTTTGTTTGAAATATTGGATTTTAAAAAACAATCAATAGATTCTCCATAATGTGCACCTCCATCAATAAACTTAAATTTCATTAATATAATATATACTATATATTATCACAACCCACTTTATACAAAATTGATATACTCTCAGTGGGAGTTGAACCCACGTCGGACTATCGTTTGATAGTCTGCTTTACCAATTAAGCTATGAGAGTGGTTACACTTTTTTTTTGTGCACTTTTTTTTATACCTGATATACAAACTAATATATACAACCTAATATTTACATTCCCTATTTTTTTATTTACACATTTTTTAAATCTCACATGGTGGTCCATATCTCAGAGACCTGCATACTTCTGTACGATACATTCGGGCCCTCTTTCGAGTCTTCTTAATCTGTCTTGTCGTATCGGTATAGAACAGGGTCTTGATCAGTTCTCGCATACGTTCCATATAGTTCTCTTCATGTTCCGGGTACCTTATCGTGTGTCCGTACCTCGGCCCCACTCGCTGACACTTCAAGTTCAAATATCGTTCTATCAAAGGCCCATGGTTGAACTTGTGGTCCTTCGGTATTTTCACCACCACATTCTTTTTGTATAAAATTTTATTTATCATCACTTGACACTCCTCTGGAAGATCGTATACCAGATTGACTGGTTGTTCTTCAAAGAGAAGACTCAAGACTTTTTCCCATACACTTTCAGACACATCACGGTCCCCCATGATCATCTCATAGATGTACCCTGCAATGAATCGGGTATCATCATTCTTGTCAAACATAGGATGTTCACGGATCTCTTGAGCAATCTCACGAGCATACACATACGCCATTGTTGGATTGCTTTGGTAGTCTTTGTTAAAAAGAGATAGAAAAGTATAAGTGTTGATTGTACTCTTCGTATACCCTACGTAAATGTAGTCTTTATGTGGATTATTCCCCCGTATAATTCAAAAAAAAAAGATATTTACAAAACTCGTATTAGTGTGTTTGAATGATGATTTTCAAAAAAAGATATAAAAAATGTTAAAGAAAATATTTACAAAAATAATACAAAAATAAAGATATGAAAATTACCATCGGAACTTGAAAGATTCATCATCACGTTCGTCATCGGATAAATCAGCCCATTTTTGATTACCGATTATTTTTTTGTAAGACAATTCAGCGGCTATCGGTGACAGAGGTAATTGTCTTTTGGTTTTGGGTGGTGTCATCTTCGGAAATCCTTGTCCCAATTTTCCATCATAAACGAATTGGGCACAGTTTCGACATGGAAATCCGTGACATTTACAATTTCCACAATCATAATCAGGATCACTGATCGCATATTTGTCATATTGACTCGGATGATTCTTCTCTTTTCCATATGGAACAAAGATGTCCATCTCATAGTATTCAGAGTAGATCATCGAGATCTTTTGATTCATTACCATATTTTCTTTTGGTGTTCGTCTTTTGACTTACTATTACCTTTAGTGGTCTTTAAGTGGAATTCTTCACACACGAGTGTTTTTTAAAAAGGGACTTTAGGTTTGACAAACTTTTCCGCACCGGTCGCATGTACCAGTGTTACTAAACTAGGTTTTTTCCATTCAGTTCCAACTGCCCACTCGCTCATAATCATTACGTCGCCTGCATCTATATCAAACTTCATTAACCGACCAATATGTTTGCATTGATATCTCCATCTATAATAAAAAGGCATACTCGGGTTCATACCCAATCGGAACATAAGAACTTTCCTTCTTTCACTATCACCATGCCAACCTATACCCGTGTTCTTTTTACCACCATCTGAATACAGATTCCCTTCCGCTACATCAAATTCAAATTTCATTCCAAATTTTCCAAATTCATTTCTTAACATACCCATTATTGGCATTTCATCAAACGCGTGAATCGTTCCTTCACCCTTTTGATAATTTGCTTTTTGAGCTTTCAATCCGATACAGTGATTGGATCTAGCATGTTTATTCATCACACGACCTCTTTGATTCTTATCTTTCAAAATTTTACCGGTTTCAAGATCCCTGACCTTATTTCCATTTTCATCAACAAGATCCTCATATTTATTTGGATCTAAATATTTCGAATCCCACGATTTGCTTTGGACTTCTGTATTAAGATCATCCAAAGTAAATCCATGTTTTGAAAGAATTTGTGGTAATAAACCTTTCAAAACCAGAAAATATGCATCTTTTACTTCAACAATATTATCGTTTTTATCTTTGATTTCTGAAGATTCGTTGTTTTCATTAATCAAACCGATTTTTTTCAAATCAAATAATGAAGTTTTACATTTATATTCTTTATCGACATAATCAATCACATCTCGCAGATCTGATAAGGTATATCCTTCCCCCACATTTGCTATTTGGCCTATTTGTTGATTGTCACGATGATTTTCTCCACATTCGCACCATGTATAAGTGATCACCGTATTATCCATGATTTTTCTAATTGATAAACGAAAGGTCTTTAAGTGATATATTATTCCTTTTTATTTGATTAAATTATATACTCGGACCTTTTCTGTAGAACAAAAAGTCTCTTAGGACATATGTAAATATATGGTTGAGCTGAAAATGGAAAAGACCATCTTGATATTTTTTCAGTGTATACAATGTGCATATTCATATCATTAAAAATTCGTACCCATGTATCAAAATCATTAAAACACTCCACACAAGACCCATGATTCGATTTTGAATGTAATTTTGTAAAATATCGATCTATTATGTTATAAGGTGTATCTTCAAATATAATCAAATATTTTTTAGTAATTCTTTTTAATTCTAATAGAATTGATCTATAATTTTTGATATGGTGTAATACAAAAGAACATATCACAATATCAAATTCGTCATTTTGAAAAGGTATGCGATTTCCATCATATAACTGAGGTTTTGTACCAAACTTTTCGGAACTGATGTCAGCAATATCCATACCAATAACATTATATCCACAATTTCGCATATTCTTAGTTAAAATACAAGATCCGCAACCAAAATCTAATATTTTATCATGGATGGATATATGTTTAGTAATTTGTTTTTCACGTTCTTTATAATTGACTATACATTTGTTGACAGATATCAAAATAATCAAAGTAATCAATATAAATAGCATAATATATATTCATATATTTATATACAAATCGATTTGAAGTGTCAAGAAAGTTATTACATAAATCAAACATCTGGGAACAATGGTTCGTGTGAGTGATCATCTGTTCCGTCCCATATATAATTATATACCCGTATGTCCGACGTCGTATAATTGTAAAATTCAGCAGTCACTTTATCCATCGCAATTCCAAATCTTTCATCGAATGAAAGATTTGGTGCATAACTGATCCGATAGTATGCACGTTCGTGTAATGGACCGGTGATTGGCTTTTTATCAAACGTTTTTAGTTCTTGCAAACAATCATTCGAGAATACATTTTTGTAGATCTGGTATTGACAATTTTCAGGAAGATCGTATAACAGATGCATCGTTCTTCTTACGGCCTACGTATCTGTAGTCTTTATGTGGACTTTATCTTAAAATTTTCCTACGTTTAATGTATGAAAGATCGATTTCAAGGAATTGAAAAGTTTATCAATAATAATCTCTACATCATCGCAATATTAACTCTATATCAGGGAACGATGGGTGCAAATAATTTCAAAACACCCGAGATAGTAAAGCCTTTATTCGAAAACACTATATGGAGATTCTTATCCTTGTGTTCTATTTCATACACGGCCACAAAAGATATTGAACAGTCTATCGTATCAACTTTGATATTTTTATTTATTATCAAGGTTTTGAATTCATTTGATGACAAGAAACCTACTCCAGAATCAAACATGTTGAACACAAAATATCGGGGACTCTAGGGGTTTTCTCCACACTCTCTTACTATTATGCTTTGACACAATTCACATGCAAATATATGATTCCAGATGTCAGTGGGAACAGATCGAAATAAGATACAAGCGAGTAGAAGTATATAATGCATAAACGATATTAACATATATGACATTTCAAAGTGCCTGAAGTCTATGAATTAATTGTATTCTCCGTCCAGAGACCTTTAATCTGTTTTCTCTGCAGAACCATTTTAATTCTTTTACAGTCATACATTTTATACACATCGTACTACACCATATAGTCAATATCTCATTCCGAACTACGACACGTCTAGTTCTAGCATAATTCCATCTTCCATTTCCATACAAATAGATTTCTTTCTTCCACTTTTCAGAATGCCATTTCAATTTCATGTAGAGTCGCAACGTTCTCGATTCGACGGTGTTCATTATACCGTCTCTAATTCCTACTTTATAATCATCCGTCGAAGTACGACGGTTTCGTATAGTTGTTTTGATAACACGACTTAGACTCTTTTCTTGCCTTTTAATATCCTTCAATTCCTTTGTGACATTATCAAAAGATAATTTGAATATCATGTATTGAACGTTCTCGGGTAGACTATATAAAAGATTCTTTTCTTTATAAGTCTTAGAATCTTTGGGAAATAAAGGTGCATTGTCGTTTTTATTACGACGGAGATACATCTTTCGTAACTTTGTAGTAGTCTTATTGTAGAATGCATTGGCATTAAAAATGTACACACGTCTTTTCACAGCTTTATCATCAATATTCATAACACTTTCGTATATTGGACCCTTTTTAAATACCAAATGTGTTCGCAGCTCTTGAAAGACAGATGTCATCACATCGTGCTGATTAATGAAGGATTGCATCTTGTGATTATTTTAGTCACATACCGTGTGTGTCATAGATCTTTAAGTTGATTATGTTAATCTATATTTCTATCAATCAGATAATTCTGTACATAAATAACATATCAAGTAATATTTTTCAGGATGACTGTACATATAAGGATTCACACAATCAAGACAAGATATGTTGCCACATAATGTACACAGAAAGGATGCATCCGCATCTACGAGCTTCTTACATTCGAAACACTCCTGTTCACAAATCCCGGTTTCAAATCAATTCAAATCTGACATTATTGACCCCAAAATATCGTCTTAATGTGTGTTCTAAACCATCTGCACATTCAAGACAGCAGTGCCAACAACGAACATTAAGTCGAACGCCTCTACGGGCACGAGAGGGCACTCGAACGTTCCAATTTACAGTCCTAGCTAAGGATACTGGGATCCCCGATATGATCACTTTGGCAACTTT